AGGTGGGGGCGGGGGGATGCCCTGGTGTGTCTTGTGGGGGGTGAGGGGAGTGTGTGTGTGTGTGTGTGCAGGTGTGGTGCATGCATATGCGTGTATGTTCAATGTGTGTATGCACACATGGGTGTGGTGCCGGTGTGTGTCTGCGGTGGAGGGGGTGAGTGTATGTGGGTGTGTGTACATCTGTGGTGCCCATATGTGTCTGTGGAGGGGATGCGTGTGAGAGTATATGCGTACAGGTGTGGAGTCTGCGGTGTGTGTGTATGTGCGGTGTGCGCACACAGGTGTGCCCATGTCTGTGTGGGAGAGCAGGGTGTACATATGTGTGCGTGAGGTGCCCATGTGTCACCGTGGGGTGTGCATGCATGCACAGATGTGGTGTCTGTGCAGAGTGTGTGCATGAGTATATATGTATGGCATGCATGTGTGTGTGTGAGCGCACCACCCCAGTGTGTGTGCACGCACAGGTGTGGTGCCCATGTGTATATATGTGCAGCGTGTGTGACCCCACTGTCTGTATTTGAGTGGGGGGGGTGTGCACCCTGTTTGTTTGTGTGCACGTGTATCTGTGGTATGTGCTGTGTGTACAGTACATTTGTGTGCAGTGTCTTGTGTAAACGTGTACATGCGTGCATGCTTGTAAAGTCTGGGGACTGCCTGGGAAGCCCAAGGGGCTCCCCCTCCCTCCTCCTCATCTGTGCTCAAAAGACAGAGGGAGTTTTTCACCTGGGTTCAAATCCCTGCCTGTATAGCTGCAACATATGTGCACGCATGTGTGTGTAAGTTTGTGTGGTGTGTAGGAAGTGTGTCAGTCTCAGCACCCAGCTGGAATTCATGCCATTCATGAGTGCCAAGCAGAGACGGGCAGGTGGGTGGTGTGTGCAGTGCGTGCAGTGCAGACACATCAACATGAGCGTTTCTCATCGTTCGTCGCCTCCAGGCACCCCTCCTAGTACTCAGCCTCCTCCCCGCCCATGGACTCCAGCCCCCACTCATAGATTCCAGTCACCAGCCCTTGTTAAACACCAGCTCTTAAGTTTTCATTCATTTTCTGACTACAGAATAATACCAGAGCCATTCATCTATTGCAGAGAGCTCAGAAAGATCACAACGGCGCAGAATTTTTTTAACACCATAGACCCCCCCTACTTTGCCTGTGACAGGTGAGGTAGTTATGTCTTGTGTAGTGTCAGGGTTGGCAGTAGTTTTACGGCCCAGTTAAATTCTGGATTTGTTTGGGATGGTTTGGGTACGGAAGATCCTGCTTCAGGCCAGGGTTTGGAGTTGATGACCCCTGGAGGTCCCTTCTAGCCCCACTTCTCTGATTCCTATTTAAAATCTCTGGGTTTATATCTTGTGAATTCTGTGTGCGTGCTTAACAGTGCTAACATTATGTGCTCTCCCCACAGCACCCTTGGAAGGATCTTAGAGCACACCCCAGGGTGCCACAGCGGCCTGGTTGAGAATCACTGATGTAAATTATAATAACTTTATACACAGCTCTGTGCATGTCCTTTCAGAGCATCTGATAAAGCAAGCACAGGCTCACAATAGCTCTGATGTTGACTCTGATTTGCATCTTTGATTTAGTTAGGCTATAAGATGCAAATCTATCCTGCCATCTGTCTACAGCTATGATTCTCAACCAGGCTGCTACGGCACCCTGGGGTGCCTCGATATCCTTTCAGGGGTGCCACACATTGTTAGCACTGTTAGGTACTCACACATGATTCACAATATCAACTCAATGATTTCAAATAAGAATCTACAGCATTAAAAACAGTCTGACCTGTTGTGGCCTTTTTGAGCTGTTTGCAAAAATAAAAGTTGCGGTATTTTTTCATAATCAAAAAATGAATTAAAACTAGGAGCTGACGTTTTCTGAGGGGTGCCTTGAGTCTAAACGAATCGAGAACCACTGGATTAAGGGAACTCCAGGCACTGCCCTGATATTCTTTCCCCATGGTGCCTGACAGCCCACAGCGTTGGTCTCTCATATACATGCCTCTCCTCTGCACAGGTACGTTGGAGCTCCCAGGAAACCAGCTCCTGCACCAGTCAGACCTGTGAGCTGTGACTCAGACTGGGCATGCAAGGGCATGTAGGTCTGTGGCGCTGCTCTTTTCCTCCACCCCAGCTCGCGCAGCAGACGGAGCAGCAAGCTTCGCTCTTCCATTTGTCAGGAACCTGGCGTGGACGGATAGCCTCATCCCAGCCGCTGCCCTGGGACAGCTGGAGAGAACAGCAGGATTGTGTGTAACAGGCGCTGCTGAACGAACAATGGGGATATTGTGGAGCACTTGGAGCTCAAGAAGAGGACAGTGGGAGGCTTGGACAGACGGATTGTATTATGTACCCCCGTTGCTTCACCCAGGGTCTGCCCTAGGTGCTGTTGCCACAATAGGCAAACCAGAGAGATTCTTCAGATCCTCCCTCTTTCTAAGGCTGCAGTCACTCATAAAACATTAGTGAAGGTTTGGGAGCATTAGGCAACTGCTACCCCTGCCTCTCCATGCACAGGGCCTGTTTTGGTACTAGTCTAAGCAGCTGCTAGGGGAAGACGGAATGCCCTGATACAGCATGTTTTAAGTCTCAACCTAGCATTAATAAAGAATACCACTGCAAGCCACATCCTTCACCAGTCTGCTGGATCCCACAGCGTTCTGCCTTGCACATAAACATTGCTTTCCAATGCATTGGAAATATTCCCTTCCTTCAGAGGGAGGAGTATAAAACCACCACGCACAGCACAAAGATCCAGGGGCTGAGTTTAATCATTGTTAGCTGTTCTGGAGTGCTGCTCAGCCTGAGATCTGCAAGCATTTTACAAAAGGCCCTGAGCAAACTGTCTTCATTTACAGGGGTAAAGTGGCCTGTTTAGGGGGTCACTCCAGAGGTCAGTAGCAAAGACAGAGGCAGAAAGAGATCCCGAGTATGCTAACCATATTTCTGGGATATTACAATGTGGGACATTTACAGACAAAATTAACTGCACCGTCCTATTTAAATGCCCATTGTATTGGATATCCCTGCCTCTGCGAAATAAATTCACAATCCTGTAACAATGTTGTAAGACCATCGATTCTGTGTATTGAGCCATGGGGTCAAAGGTCGTTTAGGGGCAGGGTTTAGGCCTTCTGTGGTGCTATAGCTGGGAAATGGGGCAGGAGGGGAGGCATCTCCAAAAAACTGGGGCACTCTGCCACAGG